TGCTGGTGGGGGGTCTTGGCTGGGTATTAATGGAAATCGACTGACTAGACTGGCCACTAAATGTTGGAGTGGCTGGGGCAAGCATTTTTTCTTAGATTTATTCATGTTCATTTTATGCATGTGGGTATTTTGCTTGCATGTGTGTCTGTGCACCATGTACATGCAGTGCCCTCATAGACCAGAAGAGGACATCAGATCCCTTGGGATAGGAGTTACAGGCAGTTGCAAACCGCCATGTGAGTGCTGGAAGCTGAACCTGGGTCCCGTGGAAGAGCAGCCAGTGCTCTTCACCACTGAGCCCTCTCTCCAGCCTCCCTGAGCCAGCAATGGAATTTGCTGTGCTGACTTTTTCTTTCACGGAGGATTTCTCTGCAATGGATGACACCACTCAAAAGTTTGTCATGTGCAATAGACTTTCTTTAAAAATTGTTTGAAGTCACACCCTTGTAAACCCCATGCCATGTTATCAGCTAAGTTTATGGGAAATCCTAGAGCTGCCCCTACCGTCACTTCAACAGTGTTCACAGCGTCTGCACTGGAAGCTGATTCATGTCAAGTTCTAGGTGTGTCTCACTGCGCATGATCTCCCGAGCCTTCTCCTCCTAATGCTGTCTGCAATTAATTGGAACACCATTGGGTGGCCTGTGACTATTTGTGTGGTTGCAGATAATGATGGCAGGTTTGGATGGTTTTTAAGGGGCCTGATCAAAGAGAAACAAAACCTCAACTGAAGGAAGATGCATAGTGCACGTTTTTACAAGATAGCACACAGCACATGAAGTTATGCTGACCCCAGGGAAACAGAGTGGTCTGGTCATTGACACTGACAAACCTCTGGTATTTGTTAACACCGTGCTGGGACAGTGAGAACATAATTAAATTAGTCAAAGGAGCAGGCTTATACAATGCACAGGCCCCATGGCAAGGGCTCCTGCCCACCAAGATTAATGTAGCTGATGGTGTAGCAGGCTAGTAACGAGGCTAATGCTGAGCCCTGCTGTGGGACCATCCATCCAGGAACCTAAACAGCTATAGCAGAAACTGTGCATCTGATTAATGTATACAGGTTCTACCCTGAAAATGACAATGATTCATCTTAACTGGAACAAACAATTTCCAGGTGCGAGTTCGCCATTTTGGGCTCCAGTACCTCAGCCAGCACCATTTCCTAAGATTCTGTAGAGTGTTTGTCCTTGGCATAACGTTCCACTTCACATCACTGTAGAATACCAGGCACACTGCTGCAAATGAGGTGTGTCACTGGGTTGTGCTCATTGGATTCATGGATCCAATCCAGTACCTACTTTTCCCTAGGAGTTCCCAGCAAGAGAGTGTAATGAATGGCCTGCTGAAGCTACAGCTAAGCTACTAGCTTGGAAAGAATACCTTGCAAAGATGGACTCCATCCTTGAGAATCAATGCATATCCCAAAGTCATGACAATATGGTATTGTAACCCTAGTAGGTAAAATCCACGATCCAAGAATCAAAGATAGAAATAATAGTGACCCCATTTTTCATTTTTTCTCAGGCCCCTCTACAGGCATTTGTGTTTTTTGTTCCTACCCATCAAAGTGATGTGGTTTAGAAATCTTGATTCAGAAGGGAAGAATACATCCATGTACTCTGGAACATCTCATGGAATAGCAAGCTACAGCTGTGTTATCACGTGGCACTTGCGGTCAACAGAACTAGAGGCAAGGAGAAGGTGGAAGGCATCCTCACCTGGGCTGGGAGTGGGCCCTGGTCCTTAAAGGCAGATAGACTGCTTCTCCTCACTAAGCATCTCTGGCATCTGGGTAGCATATGCATCTATTTCCTGATGTTCTTTCACCCAAGGCTGGCAAGTGGATGAGAACAGCTGCCACAAAGCTGGCCTTCAGAAGAACAAGATGACCGGAGGTTCAGCCCTCATGCATGGAGGCCTTAGTCAACTGCAAAGTCAAGCTGCCTGGCCTAGCCTAGGTGTTGGCTGAGGTTGGGGTAACTGTAGAAAGAGGATTCAAGAAAGGTGAGCACCATTTACAGACTCAAGAGCACCCACAGAGGTTGGAAGCAGATTGAAGTTCAACTCTGTTGACCTTTCTCTTGCAAGTTTTCTGGGGGTGGGGCTTGGAAGACTTCTAGAATTTTCTAGATCTCATGTGAGCAAATGGATTTGAACAGAGATAAGGGAGGGCCCTAATGGAGTCTGGTGTGCTTCCCAGGTTTTCCCTCCCCAGGACTGAAGCTCTCCTTCAGCGTGTGAGTTGCCAACAGTTCCCCCTAGGTCTCCACCATAGGACCTTACCCTAAGGCCTTCAGCCATCACAAGAAAGGGAGTATATAAGAGTTGAGCCCCACACTTTCGGTTAGCCTCATTGTGATGCTCTCTATAGAATTAGCTGGCTATGACTACATCATGGTAAAAATTCTCTTTTTCCTCACTTTCCAGCATTCTGTCTGAATATTATCATCTAGGCATTTGCGTTCCAGAGAGATCAATGACAGCCCAGGTCTTGGTTGGAGTCTGTACAGCAGCAGAAGGCTTCAGCATGCAGTGCTTTGCATATCAGACTTCCTGTTCCAGAGACAAGTCATGCTATGATCTGCTGGAGGCAAAACCGATTTAAGATCCTTCAAAAGATAGGAGAGAAAGCTTGGTATAATGGCTGATGTGACCAAATTCTATATGGTCCTTCACATAAAAAGGGAATCTCTCCCCTTTGCTCCTCTTTTCTGATATCTCCTTGGCATTTGACTGGCGCAGGAGGCTCCATGGGTCTGCTGTTCCCAGTGGGATGCCCTATGGCCACTTGATGGCTGGTATATGCCTCCTGGGCATGCGTCTCATCTCTGGTTGGTGTTCAGAGCTACTCTGCTAGGCTATAGAAGAGATAAGGAGCTTTTATTTGAAGTCATGGCCATGACTTTCCTGACTGGGAGCCATTATGTAGTTGCTACTAGAAGTTGTCTCACAGAAAAACTTCCAGAAAGGTTCAGTGTAAGATATAACAGGGATTCCAGTTACTCAGCATGTAGAGTCCTTTGCCAGCCTTTCTTGTCCCTGTGAGTGGAGATCACGATATAATGAAGAGTCTTCTCTCATTGTAGATGATTTTATGTGATCATTGGCTAGAGTCCCTAGTTTCCTACTTAAAAGAGTACATACTAACACTACAAAGACCCAAAATAACAGTAAGAGAGATCACTTACAGTTATAAACTGATCACCCACCTTCCAGAACATCATTCTCCTGAGTGCCTCAATGCTGATCTCTTTATTGCCTTGTGCCATGGTGACCTCGGTCCCAGGAGACCTTGGTGTGATGGTATCTCTTGGGGCTCTGCAATGTAGTGACCCTACAGTACACAGCAAATTTCAGGCCCAGGACTGGCAGCTTCAAATGATACAGTTACACAAGCAAGCAGCCATGACCTTTTCAACCCTTGGGGACAGAGCTGGTCTCTATGACTAGGCATCAGTTATGTGAAGACAGAGAAGCTGATCCATCTGAGATACTGAAAGAGAATGCGGATTGGAGTTGCTCACACAGGAAGAGGAGCCCTGTCTCCTTTCAAATATTCTCTCAAATGTGTGGAGTTGGAGTCTAATGCTGCTCTCTTTAGTTTGCTGGGTTGGGGGTAGCTTTAATTGCAGCTTGGGAAGTTTCTGCCACCAGTTTCTCAATATGAAGCACTTCATCTGTCATCAGATTCCTCTTGTGGTTACCCCCTCCCTGTCTATCTACCAGTGATCACCCTCCACCCACACACACAGCTTCTTGCCTACCTAATGTAATACTATGTCATCCACTTCTCCCTCTTGCTCTCAACACTCCTACCCACAGCCATTTATTTTTCCTTAGGTTTCTTTAGCCATAAACCTTTTCTTCTCACTAACTGCAGGGTAATGGTTCTGACCAGGGTAATGGTTTACTGACTGGGTTATATCTGTTTTCTAAGAGGAATTATTCACAGCTCCCATTCTCTCTGAAAAGTACCCTAATTTGGATGATAAAACATTATGTTCACCCTACTTACCACTATCTGAACTCCCAACCCTGACAGCCTGGCCTTCATGCTCTTTCCGTATTTTCCCATCATCTCAGACATCTGTACCCAGGAGAGGTACCCAGTGAATTTGACAGACATTACTCACCCTCACTCTTAGGCGTTGGCTGAAGCAATGACTCTTCTCTGTCTGGACTGAGATACCTCTGGGAGCTCCCCAAGCTGCCTACCCATCTACATATAGCTTAATCTTGTGATAACTCATCCTTTAATATAGACAAAATCTAGAATCACACAGGAGAGATACTCTGGTCTTGTCTGAGAAGGAATTTCCAGAAAGGTTAAAATGAAGAAGGAAGATTGACCCTGGGGGAGGGGCAACACTGTCCCTGAGCCAGGGTGCACAAACAGGAGAAAGTAAGCGGAATGCCAGTTTGCATCAGTCTTGCATCCTGACTACAGAGCCAATGAGATCAGCTGCCTCATGCTCTTGTTGCTGCAGATAATTGTGCTCTTGCCACAGTGCCCACCACAGCGGATTGGACCTTCAAACTCTGAGCTGCAATAGACCCTTCCCTCCTTAAGATGGCTTTTGTCGGGTAGTATATCATTGAAGCCTTCACCCAAGCCAGTTGTCCAGGTCGCCTGGCTCCCCGTGCTTTCCCGTGTCTGCAGTGTCTGTGTGATCTGGGTTGCAGGACAGAGAAGTAAGGTCGGGGTGGAGCCTACCACAGGCGGTTGCGATGGGTCACAGGGGAAACTTGGAATAAGTGTGTGTTCCATCATGGTGGAGGGCTCCAGAAGAGTGAGAGACGGAGGACCATGGAGTTCTGACCTTGTTGATAGGAGCAGGATTCCCAGGCTGAGCACAGGTACAGTGGGGGACTCCGGCAGGGTGATTGGCTCAGTGCGTGCGTGCGTGCGTGCGTGTGCCTGTGCGTGTGCGTGGTGTGCGTGTGCGTGTGCGTGTGCGTGTGTGTAGTTGGGACCTTGCTGATAGGAGCAAGAATCCTAAGGCCAGAATGGAACATCTGGATTTCAATAAACACCAGGCATGCCCAAGAGTCCCTTTTTAAGGAAGAACGCCCCACCTCACAAACAGTTCTCCCACAACTGCCATCTTTACCCCACCCCAGCTGAATGGGATTTCCCACAAAAACCACAACTGAGTAGTAATAAGATATGCATGGATTTTATGAATGTCCAAACCAATTCACTTCCATTTAATACCACACACCATACATCCCCAATAACAATATCCTCCTGGAAATACAAAAACACTTCCACAATGGTGATCTTTACCAGGTAAGTGGGGAGAAGACCACAAGAAGACTTAATCAGGACTCACAGAGAGACAGGAATCTCCTCAAAGCTTTATATCTTAAAAATGATATGTAAGGAAAGTTGTAGTAAAATATTTGATTGCATATAATGAGTATATACTAATAAATGACATTTTGGCTTAGCATGGTGGCATATGACTTTAATCCCAGCACTTGGAAGGCAGAGGCAGGTAGATCTCTGTGAGTTTGAGGTCAGCCTGGCCTGCATATTGAGTTCTATGTCAGTCAGAGTGATACAGTGAGACACTGTCTCAAACAAACAAGCAAAAAAGAACTGATATCCATGAAAAAATACGCTTTCAAACTCCAATTATTTAAATGTAACATGTTTTAAAATGTCAATATTTTAATTAGTCTATATTAATTGTGCAAAACAGTGTATTGTATCATGACATTTCCCCACATGTCTATAAGGTGCTTTGATCATATTTACCCATCTATTATCCTCAGTTATCCCAATCCTGTTCCATCCCATTCCTCAATAATCTGACATCTACTTGCATGCCCCCACCCGGTTTTAAGATTTTGCATATCCAAGAAATTACACAACTTCTTCAAGTCTGGCTTATTTCACTGAACATAATGACTTCCAGTTCCATCCATAACTAAATGAAGCCAAGTCCTTGGGGAATGGTGCTGAGATGACCTCGGAGCACATCTTAGGAATGGAGAATGAATCAAGCACTTCTTTGTCTCTGGGTTAGTCTCAAAAGAGGGGATTGTTTATGGTTTTGGAGTCTGAAGGATTTGGTCCAGGTGCTTTGTGGCATCCTGGACCCACTTCTTCTTGGGGTCAGCACAGATCTCTTTGCCCGACTTGGTCTTGAAGCTGTAGAAGAGAGCAAACAGAGAATGGGAAACAATGAAAATTCTCCCCTTTTCTCCTCAAACCCTCCCAGATCATTTGCTATGGGGTGCAGAGGTCACTGTGGTACAAAACAATGGTCAGAGGAAGGATGGGATTCCAGGCTTGGCTTCCCTTCATCTGAAAGAACTAATATGGCCAGGAGCCAGCTCCCATGCAGAGAGCTGGGAATAAACGCCTTTTGCGCTGTGAAAGCTCATGGATTAGGTTACAGATGTCAAACTGTCTGATTCTTTAATCAAGACAGCTCTTGACTGTGTGCCTTGGAAATGAGTTTGGGGCCAGAGGTTTGTGTGTGTCATGGTGGGGGTGGGGGTTGTCTACTCACAGTATGGCTTTCAGGGTGCATCTGCTGTTGGAGATTCTTTTGTAGCTCTTCAGTAGTGATTTGGGGATCTTCTTACTGGTCATAACAAAGCAGCAGGTAGATGGGATAGAGCCTAAGTTTGGGGAGAAGAGAATGGACAGGAAGAATGAGCCATCTGTGATCCATGGGTATTTTCAGACAGGACTTGGTAGGAAGAAAGTTAGGAGGAGATAAAAATGCATCATGGAGTGGGGGAGGTAAAATCATGAAGCCCTGTACCTTTGACATGGTACACTCCTCTCCCCTGGTCCTCTCCAAAGTGGGGACCTGCCATCTCTGACAAGGTGTAATGGACATTATATTGATAAACTGTGATAAATTGCTGAGCTCTCTGAGAAACTGGCTCCGGAAGCAGGTTTACCCCCCTCCCCGCATTTCAGACCTAAGCATGTTTATGTCAAGTTTTCCCCAAGACTTGTCTGGTGAGGGGATGAGTGTCTAACTCTGTGACAGAGAGGAGAGAGCATCAGAATAGACCACGATGAACAGTAGTGTGCCCCAGAGAACAACTAGAAGGGAAACTCACTAACAGGACTTGGAGAAGTACTTGGTGGGGGACTCTAGATGACTGCCTCAGGGGCTTTCTCAGCCAGTTTCTGCTGGTTTTCAGTCCCCAATTTGATAATGTTACCTTTATCTTATAATTTTCTGTCTAGGGAGGGGCATTTCTACTGGGTGTTTTGAGCACTGGATCTAGTGGTTCTCTCTCTCTCTCTCCCTCTCTCCCTCTCCTTCTCTCTCTCTCTCTCTCTCTCTCTCTCTCTCTCTCTCTCTCTCTCTCTCGTGTGTGTGTGTGTGTGTGTGTGTGTGTAAGAGAGACAGAGAGAGAGAGACTTTTATTTTTACTATTACTTTGACCTGGTATGTATTTAAGAAATACACTCACCCATTCAAAACTTCAAGTATTGCTACACAGACCACTCCCTAGGTGATACAGAATATAATTGGCATTGTCAGCAGGATCTATCTAGCGTCCATTTCCTTTTTTTTTTTTTTTTTTTTTTTTTTTGGTTTTTCGAGACAGGGTTTCTCTGTGTAGCTTTGCGCCTTTCCTGGAAGTCACTTGGTAGCCCAGGCTGGCCTCGAACTCACAGAGATCCACCTGGCTCTGCCTCCCGAGTGCTGGGATTAAAGGCGTGCGCCACCACCGCCCGGCCCATTTCCATTTTAAAGGAGTGATTCTCATTCGTTTTAAAGGAGGCATGGACAATGAGAACCAGTGACAGTGAGAGTAATGATGTGTCCATAGACACCTGGCTTCCCTCTGTCCACCACTGAAACAAGGGAACGACCATTTTCTGTACCTAGAACTGGAATTTCAGGGTTAACATGTAAAAATTTTGGTTTCTCTGTGAACATTTCCTTTGGCCTTCTCTTGTTTACAGAGTGTTCGCTGATCAAGGTCATTGATTTCCCTGCAGGCCCTGGCCACAGTGCTAGAACTTTCTCAAGATGGTAAGACCAAAAGGAAGAAAAATTAAAAAAAAAAAATCAAGTGGTAAGACAGTTTGTCTGCAAACAGCAGAAACAGACAAACAACGTCCCAAACCAAAAAAACTTGGTAGCTTAGTAATATGTATGGTCAAGCAATGTTAATTTGCTACACAGTAACATGTATATAATTTGCATTCAACTATTATTTTTTACAAAAACTAATTTTTAAAGTAACTAGATGAAAGAGAGGGTTTTAAAGAATGTAAATATGATATTTTGTCTTTTATTAAATAGGTAAATTAAAAAAATAAAGATGGATTTTGGGTGCTAAGACAAAATGAAAAAGCTAATATTCAAGTCACAGGAGGTATGAGTAAATTGTACAAGGTGCATAGAGAATGGGATTTAAAGATCCTGTAGGTTTGATGACTGAAAGTAATTAAAATTCCTACAAGTATTGATCTGCTCATAGCAACATTTACAAAAACTCATTCAAAAACCAAAAATGCATGTTTAATCAAGGTAATTTGTACCTTTGCTAACTTTGTTAGTCTGGTTCATACTTGGGAAAACTATCTTTAAGCAAAATCAGGATTTCCTTAAAATTCTCTTTGTCTAAGCTTTATTTAAGTGTTACACAAAAGTTAACAATATAGATATGGTAAGGTGCCCTCCTGGGTGTCTGGCAACCATAGCTTGGAGACCTACATCATCCTGGAGAAGAGGGCCAGAAGCTAGAAGCAAGATTTGCCTGTGGCCTCCAAGGTCACCAGAACCTGGATATTGGGATCCCTTTAAGCCACCAGTCTTCTTAATTGGAGAGGCCACGGAATCTCCAGAGACTGGAGGTAAGCAGCGTGCACCCTGCAGGAAGGAGAGTCGCCAGAACCCCACATGTTTCCTATGCTTCTGAAGGAAGCCATATGGGCAGCAGGCTCTGACCCCTGGCTACAGAAAGCACAGTAACTAGAAACAAAGTCGTGGAGCCAAGGGGCTTCTCCCAGCACCCAAGAGTAATGGCCGAAGGAGGATCCTGTGACTTAAAAAAGAAGTTTTTTTGGGGTTAACCACGTGGTCTTATACAGCCATCATAAATGGTAGTATAACCACAATGGAGACAGCCATCCAGAGACCAGCTTGGGCCAGTCTAAAAGGGGCAATCTATCAAATTCAGGAAAGTTACTAACTGGTTTCGCCTGTCCACTGTTAAGCCCTGTGTTCCATAAGATAGCCAAGACTACAAAAGAAGAACGGCCCACTACAAAACAGCAAGGCAGCTGAGGACTTACACTTTCTCTTTAAAAAACACCCCTGACTCCAGATAAACATCTATGCATACCAGGTATGTATTTATTTGTCTGCAAAGCCATTCTTAAACACTCCCTGCCTCCTTAAATGGCTAAACGGGTGTGTTTCTTCCATAAATCATTCAGAAGACATCAGACCCTTCACTATTTTAATTCTACTTAGTTTCTTTGGTCCTTTATTTATGATTGATGTCATCCAGATTCTAAGCCCTAAAATTTCAAATAATATAGACAAAAGCTGCTAACTCCTGACCACCATGCTCGCCTCCTTCTACTGAGGGCTGCTGGGTCACCCAGAAGAGTGCCATACATTCATTCCACAGTGTATTAAATCAATCCACCTTATTTGTCCCCAAATTACAGAGATAGCAGTGCCATATAAAAGCATGCAAGAAATTTAAGGGCTGAACACACTGTACATTGTATTGCTCAATTGTTATGTGTTGTTTGAGCTCACTAGAAGCTGTCGATCTCACAGAGATTTTAAAGATCTTCTTGCTTGGGGATGGACTAGCCGCCCTGCTCCCAAACTCTGCGGCAGGAGAGGCGGAACGGTCAGACCCAAGAGTTAAGAACAGTTAAAAGATGAATTGTTGCCAACAGAGGATATTATCGTTTCTCCTCTGATACAAAAGTACTTGTCACGGGAAAGAGAAGCCAGATGTTCAGCCACAGGAAGCTCATCCATGAAGAAAAAGGGGAGCTCTCTGTTCCGACCTCCCAGTCAGTTTCAGATGGACGTTATAAGCCTCCAACTTAGCAGTGTACTTGCTGTTATTACTTGCTCTTTGGTTTGGAAGCCTCACCTGAGGGACCCTATCTGTTGGGAACCCCAAATGAGTGTATTAAAGGGGCTTCCCTAGTCAATTTCTGCTGAAGGTTTTGAATACTAGAGTTGACATTTTGCTCTCTCTCTCACTCTCTCTCTCTCTTTCCTCTCTCTCTCTCTCTCTCTCTCTCTCTCTCTCTCTCTCTCTCTCTCTCTCCCTCCATCTGTTCTTTTACTTTGCCTTGATATGTACTTAATAAACTCACTCATTTAAAACCCCAAACATGGCCATCAAAGATCATTCTCTCCTGGCCGGAACACAGGGCCACAGAAAAGGCCCTTCCCTCTGATACTTAGGAGAAGTGCACAGTGCTGTGATAGTCTCAGAACCAGTCATCACATGCTCTCCAGTGTCTGTTCTCTGGGCACATGCGGGCTTTCACTCACGGCCACTTCTGTTGCCTGGAGGCATTAATCAGTGTGGTCAGTAAAGGAGAAGATGAACTGGCATGTGATACTTCTGAGCGTGCAAGTGTTGCCCATGGAGCCCATGAGCACTCTTCCTCTGCTCCCATAACCAGTCTGCAAACCTGAGTATATAGTACAGAAGCCGAGCACATGCATTGTGATAATTTGCTATGGATCCTTGATTTGATTTAGACTAGCTGTTATTGCAGCATGCATTAATTCACAGTGAAGTCATCCAAAGATAGGAAAAAGGGGTAAGACACAAACACCTACAGCAGGGTCCTAAACAGTCAAGATGAACCCTTTCGAGCAGGTGTCTCAGGAACCCCTCCCCGTTTTCCCACTGTTGCTATCTTAAAATCCTGCAAAACTCTTCCCCCAAAATAGGTCCTTCCACATCGTCACCACTATCCAAATGCTCAGTGTGCCATACCCAGACACAGTGAAGGGAGCTGACTGTGGATATACTTGGCAACTGCTGCAAAGATCATGTCAGAGAGACAGAGAGAGAGAGAGAGAGAGAGAGAGAGAGAGAGAGAGAGAGAGAGAGAGACAGAGAGAGAGAGAGAGAGAGAGAGAGAGAGAGAGAGAGAGAGAGAGAGAGAGAGAGAGAAAGGAATGTGGACCATGTCAGTTCAGGCTGTTTGACTGATTGGGGTTCCTTGTCCCATCTTTGAGTTGCAGAGTTAGCAGTAAATCTCTGAAGAGTCCTGTCATCTGGATTAAGAAATGTCTGGTTTCCCTCAAAGAAAGGAAGGGACTTACCTGGGTGAGCCAGCACCTGGGAAGTGAAGCCGGTGGCCACAAGCAGCAGGCACAGAAGCCCTGTGGAGACCTGCATGGTGGAGGGAGACGGTTGGAAGTTGCTGCGTTGATCTCAGCCTCTCTGTTCTGCTGGCTATTCTGTCTACCTTTATAAGGAGCAGAGTGGGTGGAAGCTTCCAGAGAAGACTTCGCCTACAAAAGGTCATGAAGGAGGGGTCTTGAGCAGTGGAGCACAGGCCAGCTCCTGGAAAGACAGCAAGATAGCAGAAACAAATCCTTGGGTGGGACTTGGCATCTGCCTGGGGATGGGAGTGAAAAGGAAGATTATGTGATTATGAAATGTAATTTACCATTATGCAGCATGACAAAGAAGCCAGGCAATGACAGGGGGAAACCAGTGGGTTTTAAGTGTCCTCCGTGGTCTCTGTGTTTACCTGGTGGCCTGAAGGAATTTGGAGGCCCAGAATGTCCCCACAATGTGCCCTCTCAGATGCAGAAAGAGTTTAGTGTCACAGCTCTGAACATTGCTGCATGTCTGTGACTCAGAAAACAGGACATGATAGTCTTGCTTGCTCTTGTTATATAATCCAGTGGCCAGACGATCTTAGTGCCCAGAAACTTCTCATGATGGAAGGCAGCAGGTGTAGGGACAGCTAGGATCACACTTGGCTTGAGCTACACACACACACACACACACACACACACACACACACACACACACACACACACACAGACATACAACACACAGACATGCACACAGATACAGAGACAGACAGACAGACAGACAGACACACCAATTAAATGGTTAGCAACTCAGGACCACCACCTGTACCAAGCTATGTACACATCCTTCTCCAAAGAAAGCAACTAGTTCCTCTGCCCTGATAATCCCTGCCAATTCCTTAGCATTCCCCTTTTCCTGGTTAGCAACCATTCGAATACATTCTAGTATGCATCCTGGAACCAGGAACAGGGGTGCATCTGGCAACCAGGAGCAGGGGTGCATCTGGCTTGGATGGGCAAGCTATGTTCCCAGAATGAACATTTAGGGAAAACTCTCTACCATCCGATGCATGATTCGGTGTGCATATGATGAAAACTAGATACATCGTGGGGAAGGACTATGGACAGCAAGCAAAGGCTTACATAACCTAAGCCTGCCAATCAAAACAGAAAGTACCCAATGCCCCTGCCCTGTCAGCCAACTCCACCTGCTGGACCCTGAGAAGGAAACCCAGGGGGAATGATAACTTGAGACTCTGGAGCAGTCTTGCTGAGAGCCCAGGGCTGACTTGTAGTGCTTCTGTGCTCTAGCTGCCCTGGCCTTGTCTATTTTGTGCTTTTGTACAAAACCTCTTGCTGCTCTTCCTCACCCCGAGTGCAGTACTGCGAGAACCCTAAAACTCCTGATCCAGACATTGGCCACCAATGACAAAGAACTTTCAGCAAAATAATAAGCTAACGTCTACTGACCTTGACTCCCCCCGACATACACACACAAAAGCAGGACACTTAAAATTTTTATTTCAATAAAAACACCTTAAGTGAATTTGATATTCATACCTAATTGAAAATTACTGCTCTAGAAGATGGTAGATTAAAACACAGGGAAAAGACAGGGCTGAGTAAATATCTTAAATATCAAAAACCAAAATACCAAATGATAACCATCTGCTGTGATTGCCTGGTATCCTCAGGCAAAGCGCCTCCAATACTCAGGTAAGTAGAAACATCAGGAAAACAAAGACAGAAAGACACCTCTAGGCACCTCACACAAAAATACCATTTCAGAAAACTTTATACAGAGTCAACATGGGCAATGACCGTCACTTGCTCAATTTGTCACTTCTGGTGAAATCACCAAAAAGAACATCAATTGGTTATAATCATTCTGATAAATTAAAGAGTAAGTCTTTGATTGCTGTCCAAGGGCCTCTGAAAATATAAAAAAAAAATATTATTAGCTGCAAAGAACGTCTGGACATGCATTCCATTTCTCATTGAGGGTTCACTGTTAGCAATTAAAAAGTTGACAGGTGACTCAAACAGTTAAACTAGCATAATTGACGATAAGAAACAAGAGTTAGGCACTCATTTGGAAGTCACAGAAAAACATTGAAAATAAAGATTAACAAGTTTTTATGACTCTCAAGAACCATGTATCATTCATAAGTGAGAAAATTGACAGAATTACTACAGAAAATGCTTGCAGGAAAAAAAAAAACCAAACACATTTCTAGATCAGTATAAATTTTTAATCTAGTGATATTTTCTTCTTATGAAAAATGCTAATTTTGGTTACTATATTAGTCAGTGTTCTACTGGTATGAAGAGACATTATCACCATGGCATCTCTTATAAAAGAAAGCATTTAATTGGGGCTGGCTTACAGTTTCAGAGGTTTAGACCATTACTGGCATGTTGGGAAGCATAGTGGAATGCAGACAGACATGGTGCTGGGAGGCAGCTGAGAGTCCTACATCTGGATCTGCAAGCATTCTGCAGGCATCAGGAAGAGCGAGACACCGAACCTGGTTTGAGCTTTTGAAACTCCAAAGTACCCCCAGCAGCACACCTCCTTCACATCTACCCCAACCAGGCCACACCTCCTAATCCTTCTCAAGTAGTGACACTCCCTGACGACTATGCATTCATATATAAGAGTCTAGGGGGCCATTCTTATTCAAACCACCACAGTGACCAAATCAAAAGAAAGATCATTTTATAATGAAGCATTTTTCTTTCTCCTTTGAGAATTTTATACATGCATACAATGGGTTTTGATTATACCCACTCCCTACTTCCACCCTCGATCTTGGGTTTTTTTTTTTTTTCAGCATTTTAAAACTCTTTGCTTAGCTGCTGAAGCCCTTTTCAAATCAAAGCAAAATAAACTCCTATATATCAAATATATTGTCCTGGAGTGGGTCTGTGTGTAACAAAACAGGTGACTGGTGTCTTCACACCATAAGGAATCAAGGGACACATAGAAAGCCTTCTAGTTTATCCTCATCCCCTGAACACACGGCAGACAAGGTGTTTAATGGCTTCAACACATCACAGACAAGGAACACACGAACCACTTGCATTAATCTATGCAAAACCCTAGGCTCCCATGTAGGAGCAGCGGTGAGGAGAGGTAATGCTTTAAATACGGCAGCTGCAGTAAATTACTGGATTGACAGCTAGCATAGGGGTGCCACGTGATTGGCTCCTGGCTTTTCTGGGGCAGCCCCAGATCATATTGCCTGATCTGTAAAGGTTACATGGGAAGATGTGTTAAGAAAGACTTGGGTTAGAAAAAGGCAGTACTCTGGTGACTTCTGACCTATAAGAATCATCTGCAATTAGCAATTACTTAAAAGGGGGCCAAATGGAAGCCAACACACTTGATCTTTCCTGTTTTCTTTTTTTTCTTCTTCTTTTTTTTTTTTTTTCGAGACAGAGTTTCTCTGTGTAGTTTTGGTGCCTGTCCTGGATCTCGATCTGTAGACCAAGCTGGCCTCAAACTCACATCTGGATCTGCCTCCCGAGTGCTGGGATTAAAGGCATGTGCCACCACCGCCCCGGCCTTTCCTGTTTCTTGCTGCTCAGCTCCAGGTGACCTAGCATAGTGGGAACAGTGGACCCAGGATGCCTGAAATACTATGACTCTGTTACTGATAAGGTTCATGTTATGGATGGCTTATCTACTCTCCCTCTACTAGGCTGAGACGGGAAGGATAGTCAAGCCTACCTCAAAGGGTTCCTATGATGATTAAACTCATTAATATAGAAAGTACTTGAAAGAATGAGCATCTTTCAGCAGGTTCTCAGCACCTGGCTGTTAGGGATTTATCATTAGAAAGTGGATTTTGTGGGCCAAGGAGTGCTAGAAAGAGACTGTCTAGATAGACAACATCCTCCGCTTGCCTCTCAGATTTCCCACTGTTTCCAAGGAAGACAGCATCCCCTAGAGATGGTTGTAGAAATTCCTGTGTTCCTCATGGGGGAGGTCTGACATTCCAGAAACTGAGTCAGTGTGAGATATTTTGAACATTCCTGACCTCAGAGGTGCCTGGATGATGTCATTATATGATTAAACACACTTAGCAGGAATAATTTGATAGCTCGTTTGGGAGTATAGAGTGACTTATTTTTTTCTACTTTTCTCACCAAGCTCCAGATTTTGATAGCAATCCAGAAACCTCAATGGGAGTAAGTAAATATAAATATTGAGACATCGAAGCTGTTCCGTCCAGCTGCCTGGCTGTTTCTGGCAAATGAATGGGGTAAGAAGTGGGGCTCCCCTGGCCTTTCCAGCAGTCACTAGGAAAGGACACCCCACTCACCTGTGATGTGAGTCTGTGTCTGGTGAACTGATGGAGGAGGGGTTTGGTCAGAGAAGGACAGGCTCTAGGTCCCCCAGTAGGAAAACACAATCTTAGATTCTTCAGAGTTCTTCTGAGGAGTGCAGAGAAGAGCAGGGAAAGATCCCTGGAAGCGGGGCTTCTGGTTTTGATTTTCTCAGCTCCACATTGTGTCTACTGTGTCCAAGTCGTGGGGTGGGGCAGGTTTCAGCTCAGCAGTAGAAAATGTGCCCAGTACACATGGAGCTGGATTTAAACCCCAAGAAATGAAAGAAAGCAAGATTGTAGTCAGTCCTGTGAGAGTCTTGAAAGAAATGCAGAGATGTATTTGATTTCATCCCTTTCTTTAAAAGAAGAGAGAGGAGTCGGGGAGGGAGAGGGAGAGAATTGTGAGCTGGGCCTGGACCAGAGATGAAAACTCAAAGGCTTTCCTGTCCACTTTAGGGAATCGGTGGCTCTACACACCTGTCTCTTGATTCCTTTCTTATATTGTGACCTCTACTGCACTACGATGCTTGCCTGTGTGTGCTAGTTAGTTTTATTGTCAACTAGGTAGACTCTAGAGCCACCTGGGAAGAGGGAATCCCAACTGAAAAGCTGTCTCTGTCGGCTTGGCCTGTGGTCATGTCTTTGAGGAATTGTCTTGAGTGATGATTGACGTAGGAGAGCTCTGCCCACTGTGGGTGGTGTCTCCCTGTATAAGGGGTCCTGTGTAACACGAATCTTAAAAGGTCTTATTAATAAAACAAACCCAGGGCCAGGTATTGGGGTGAACGCTGAAAGATCAGAGAAACAGAACCAGTCACAGCTAACCTCACCTCACCAATTGCTCAGCTGATCCTGTTTCCTCAGGCTGGAAGCCTCTGTGTCCTCATCTGAATGGATCTCAGCTGAACTGCT